GACATTTTTTTAAGAATAACCCCAGATATCTATATCTATATCTATATATCTAATCTATATCTATACCTATATCTATATCTATACACCGGGATTGTGACGCAGCTGGCTGAGTGTCAGCTGCATTAAGATCACTCTGACCAAAAAGGTCATGAGTTTGAAGCCAGCCCGGGTTGGAGTGGGTTTCCAACCAATTATGTGTAGCCTGTTGTCGACCTTTGCAACCCGAAAGACAGTTGCATCTGTCAAGTAGGAAAATTAGGTACCACCTTAAAGTGTGGGGAGGCTAAATTAACTGATTTATGAGGCCTTAAAGAAGACTCCAGCAAAGCATTCCAGCGGGGAAGCATGCGGGGAATGCGGAAGTGCTTCATCAGCATCGCAGATGGACGAGGAAAGCGACAGCTCCCCTGGCGGCCAGAAAAAGTTAAATAGCCTCTGTGTATGTCTGTATATGTTTGTATGTCAAAAATTGGCATTGAATGTTTGCCATATATGTGTACACTGTAATCCACCCTGAGACCCCTGCGGGGTGAGGAGAAGGGCGGAATATAAAAGCTGTAAATAAATAAATGATAAATAAATATTAAGCATGTGCAAAAAAATCGGAAAGCGTCGTAAGTTGGATCAGTTTCATATTATTCGTACGATGTGATATCTGACGTGCATGTGCAGTCGACATGATATCCAATATGCATGTGCAGTCCATGCCAAATCTTACGACACGATATCTAGTATGCCTGCGCAGTCCGCACCAAAACTTAAGAAAGTTTTACTCCAATAGCTTTGAAAGTGGTGGAGAAAGGAGCCCTTGAATTTTCCCCAAAGATAGTAATTGTGCATGAAAATTCCCCCAAAATCTGTGGATAAGTGAAATGTTCTGAAATTTGGTGGGCTAACAGTGGTCAATGCGTTCTACCATTATAGCAAGTTTCACTCCAATAACATTCAAAATGATGGAGAAAGGAGCCCTTGAATTTTCCCCAAAGATAGTAACCGTGCACGAAAATTCCCCCAAAATCTGTGGATAAGTGAAAAGTTCTGAAATTTAGTGGGCTAAAAGTGGTCAATGTGTTCTACTATTGTAGCAAATTTCACTCCAATACCTTTGGAAGTGGTAGAGAAAGGAGCCCTTGAATTTTCCCCAAAGATAGTAATTCTGCACGAAATTCCCCGAAAATCCGTGGATAAGTGAAACATTGTGAAATTTGGTGGGCTACCAGTGGCCAATGTGTTCTACCATTGTAGCAAATTTCACTCTAATACTTTTCTACATAAGAGAGATGGGTGCCCTTGAATTTTCCCCAATTGTGTAAGAAAATTCCCCAAAAATCCATGGGTAAGTTAAACATTCCAAAATTTGGTGGGCTAACAGTGGTCTATGTGTTCTACCATTGTAGCAAGTTTCACCCCAATAACATTCAAAATGATGGAGAAAGGAGTCCCTGAATTTTCCTCAATTCTAGTAATTGTGCACAAAAATTCCCCAAAAATCCGTGGATAAGTGAAATGTTCTGGAATTTGGTGGGCTAACAGTGACCAATGTGTTCTACCATTGCAGCAAGTTTCAAGTAATTGTGCGTGAAAATTCCCCAAAAATCCATGGGTAAGTGAAACGTTCCAAAATTTGGTGGGCTAACAATGGTCAATGTGTTCTACCATTGTAGCAAGTTTCAAGTAATTGTGCATGAAAATTCCCCAAAAATCCATGGGTAAGTGAAATGTTCCAAAATTTGGTGGGCTAACAGTGGTCAATGTGTTCTACCATTGTAGCCAGTTTCAAGTAATTGTGTGTGAAAATTCCCCAAAAATCCATGGGCAAGTGAAACGTTCCAAAATTTGGTGGGCTAACAGTGGTCAATGTGTTCTACCATTGTAGCAAGTTTCAAGTAATTGTGCATGAAAATTCCCCAAAACTCCATGGGTAAGTGAAACGTTCCAAAATTTGGTGGGCTAACAGTGGTCAATRTGTTTTACCATTGTAGCAAGTTTCAATCCAATAGATTTCAAAATGAGGGTGAAACGAGCCCCTGAAGTTTCCCCAAATATAGTAATTTAATTGTGTGCACACACAATTACTGTAATGATATAGTAACGAAATTTCATTACTCTCATTATAGTAACAAAATTTTCACTAAGTATACTTTAGAAACACTTTAGAAACAAATGGCCAGTTTTTAAATGAGCATTTTTAATAGATTACGCATCCCTAGAAATGACACATTGCTTTCGATTCTCTTTAAGTTCTGTTCGCAAAAGCAAAGCTTCCAGATGACGAGGGCAGAAAAAAATAATACAGCGAGCATCTCTCCTCTCTGTTTACTCTTCAGTGAATTTCTGGATGTATTGCCATAGAAGCACCTGTTCTTTTCAGACTGACAGCTTGATTGGCCGGGCGCGCATCACATGACCCCCGGGGCATTCATCGTGCCGCTCGCAGCCGCGTGTGCCGGGGGCCTTCTGCCAAACAGGTGCCGGGGGCCTATCCTCCCCTTCACAACCATTCCCACCATCTCCGGTATTTATTTTGCAGGGATCGTTCAGATTTGCAACTCCTCCTTCGCAGCAATTGGGGTTTTCGGGAGGAAGGTGTGAGCTGGACTCTTTGCACAGACACTCACATCGTTTTGCAGACACCTGCTGCATGCATCTCCGATGCTGCATACAAATGCAAGAAATGGGGAATGCGCCAGAGCTTCCCACCCCATAGATATTTTTAGTGCATTTCGTAGGCATTATGTAGTCCTGGCACATTACCTCGGAGACGTTGCTTGGTCTCCGTCTATTATGCATATTTTCTCTCCGGAGCATATGGGATTTGCGGCATTTTGAAACTGCGCAGCAGCTGGAACGTCTCACGGAGCGGATGATCCACCTCTTTGGAATAATGGTGCCAGTGTGTGTCCTCTCTGCACATTATTAGATTCAGCATTACAATTGTAGGGTCAACTTTCCAGCAAAAGCATTGCATAGGTCCATCTGGAAGACCTAGTGTGTCCTCTCCACACATTACTAAGTTCAACATGGCAATTGTATGGCCAATTTTCCAGCAAAAGCATTCCATAGGTCCATCTAGAAGACCTAGTGTCTCCTCTCTACACATTACTAAGTTCAACATGGCAATTGTATGGTCAACTTTCCAGCCAAAGCATTCCATAGGTCCATCTGGAAGACCTAGTGTGTCCTCTCTACACATTACTAAGTTCAACATGGCAATTGTATGGTCAACTTTCCAGCCAAAGCATTCCATAGGTCCATCTGGAAGACCTAGTGTGTCCTCTCTACACATTACTAAGTTCAACATAGCAATTGTGTTGTCATCTTTCCAGCAAAAGCATTCCATAGGTCCATCTAGAAGATCTAGTGTGTCCTCTCTACACATTACTAAGTTCAACATGGCAACTGTATGGTCAACTTTCCAGCAAAAGCATTCCATAGGTCCATCTGGAAGACCTAGTGTGTCCTCTCTACACATTACTAAGTTCAACATGGCAATTGCGTGGTCAACTTTCCAGCAAAAGCATAGCATAGCACCATCTGGAAGATCTAGTGTGCCTTCTCAAAGCATTGCAATGTCCTCCAAGGCAATTGCATGGTCAACTTTCTGGAAAAATCAAACCATAGGGCCACCTGGAAGACCTAGTGTGTCTTTCCAGCAAAAGCATACCATAGGGCCATGTGGAAGACCTAGTATGTCTTCTCTAAGCATTGCAATGTCCTCTAAGGCAATTGTATGCTCAACTTGGCAAAAGCATACCACAGGGCCATCTGGAAGACCTGGCGTGTCCTCTCTAAGCATTGCAATGTCCTCCAAGGCAATTGTATGCTCAACTTTCCAGCAAAAGCATACCATGGGGCCATCTGGAAGTCCTTGAGTGTCTTCTCTAATCATTGCAATGTCCTCCAAGGTAATTGCATGGTCAACTTTCTGGCAAAATCAAATCATAGGGCCACCTGGAAGACATAGTATGTCTTCTCTAAGCATTGCAATGCCTTCCAAGGCAATTGTATGGTCAACTTCCCAGCAAAAGCATATCATAGGACCACCTGGAAGACCTAGTGTGTCTTCTCTAAACATTGCAATGTCCTTCGAGGCATTTGCATGGTCAACTTTCTGGCTAAAGCATACCATAGGACCATCTGGAAGACCTAACGTGCCTTCCAAAGCATTGCAATGTCCTTCAAGGCAATTGTATGGTCAACTTTCCGTCATAAGCACACCAGAGAGCTATCTGGAAGACCTAGTGTGTCTTCTTAAAGCATTGCAATGTCCTCCTAAGCAATTGCATGGTCAACTTTCCAGCAAAGGCATACTATGTGGCCATCTGGAAGACCTAGTGTGTCTTCTCAAAGCATTGCAATGTCCTCCAAGACAATTGTATGGACAACTTTCCGTCATAAGCACACCAGAGGGCTATCTGGAAGACCTAGTGTGTCTTCTCTAAGCATTGCAAGGTCCTTCAAGATGATTGCATGGTCAACTTTCGGTTGTTGTTTTGGTTTTGGTTGAATCCCTAATTGCTATTGAAGGACGTTATCAGGCTGGCCTGTTGCTTTAAGATAAGAGTTCAGCTCAGCCTAGGTTCATTGGAGGCACCTGGTGGGAAATTACCCAAAACAGTTGGCTGTTGTGTTTGTTGAAGACTCTCCATGCAGGTATAGACTGGTTCTAGGCATGGACTGGCCTTGGTATTGTATGCCTTGTTTTCTGTTTGCCTCTTTGTTTGGTCGAGGTCCATCATTCATGGAAGTCACAGTCTCCATGGTTGTGAGTGAACTACAACTCCCCCAAATCAAGGTGAATTTTCCCCAAAGACCTCCAGTATTTTTTGCTGGTCATGGGAGCTCCGTGTGCCAAGTTTGGTCCAATTCCATCTTTGGTGGAGTTCAGAGTGCTTCTTGATTGCAGGTGAACTATACATCCCAGTAGCTACAACTATAAAACTATGGGGTTCTATTATATCAGTTGTAATGTGCTCTTCTCTCTTTCTTCTCTGTTTCAGGTTACCTGACGGTCAGCATCGAGCCGCTCCCGCCGGTGGTGGTTGGGGACGCCGTGACCCTGAAATGTAACTTCAAGACGGATGGAAGGATGCGAGAAATTGTCTGGTACCGGGTAAGGACGCAGGTCTCTTTTTTGTTTGGATGGGCCTGCATTAAAATTGAGAGTTTCAGGGGCTCAAAATCAGCAGTTCACTTGCACCGGGAGCGGCTCTTTTGTCGGCACAATGGCTCTTGATGATTTGTTTTGACCGAGCAAACATTTCCATCAGAAAAATCAAAAATATATTTTAGATTTTGTGTGTATATACATTTTTGTGTGCACAAAAAATGTAAAATATTATATATTTATATATATATATATATATTCTCAATTTATTATAATATATTTATTATATATATATACACTATATACTATAGTTGTCTATATATATATATATATATATATATATATATATATATATATATATATATATATTATGTCTATATGATATAGATAGATATTAGGGCTGGGCGGTTTTGTTCGTTAATTCGTAATTCGTTAAAAATTCGTTATTTTTTTTGTTAACGAAGCGATAACGAACCATTCTGGAGCAACTTAAAAACGAAACGAATTTTTCGTAAATGCTTCGTATTTCGTTATGTATTCGTTTCGTTATTGGTTTGAGGTCGTTTCGTTATTATTTCCGCATGTCTGGGGCAAGTTTTATAGTTGTTTTTTGTTTAATTAGTGAAAAAAAATTATAATATCACACCAACAGTCAACAACAGAGGGAGAGGGAAGCTTCAGAAGTTTTTCTAGCGTATTGCGCGATCGCGGCCGCCATTAACGAATCGATTCGTTAATGTTTCGTTATTGTTTCGTTATTGTTTTGTAATTTTTTTACCATTTACGAAATTTCGTAAATATCGAACTTTTTTTAAGGAAATTTCGGAATTCTTTTAAATATCGAAACGCAAAAAACCCCAAAAAACGAATCGATTTTAGAAACAAATTTTTCTGTTGTTACTTGCCTATAATATATATATATATATATATATATATATATATATATATATATATATATAATAATAAAATATAATACATAAGAATACTAATATTAGAATAATAGTAACATATAATAATAGTAAATAATAATATTACTACTAATTATATATAATTAAAATAAATACTATAATTAATAATACATTAAAATACTAATTAATAATAAAATATAATGCATATATGTATATATATGTACACTATTGAGTGTGTGTATTATATATATATATATATATGTGTGTGTGTGTGTGTGTGTGTGTGTGTGTGTGTGTGTGTATATATATATATAATATGATTATATTATATAGTCTTTAATGATTTTTTAATAAATCTTCAATATGTATGAGTCTCCTCAGGGAGATAGAGCGGTATACTACTACTACTACTAATAATAATAATAATTATTATTATTATTATTTGAAACACAACAAGATGAGTCCACAGCTAGTCAAAATGAATAGGCAATATATATATATATATGTATAATATGTGTGTGTGTGTGTGTGTTTTGACTAACCCTGTATATATATATATATATATGTATGTATACATATGAAGATTAACGTGGTATGTGTCCCTCATTTATGGATTCAGTCTCCATAGTTTCACATACAGAGATACAAGATGAAAGAGATTGAGATATATGCATAGACGTATGTATGTATGTGTATGTGCTTCCATAGTCTCTAGGAAGAGCTAATAAATGGTGCAAATCTATTTTAATCAATCATAAATTAGCCTTTTACATACACCAGGGATTATTAATGCATATGGGGGGTGGGGAATTGCCCAAAAGGAAGGGACCCTGAGCACGGAAAGTTCGGATTTTGAACTCAATTCACACTTCCCGAATCCTTCAATTGGCTGCGGGGATTTGGGCGAAGTTAACGAAAAAGTCCCGAATCCCGAATCCAAATTGACTCTTTGGCCGAAGACCATTTCCTGTTCAATGGAGAAGAGAAGGAGACATTTGAGGGACCTTCAAGCCCGGAAAGGTGGGCCGTTTCGGAGGTAATGAGCGCCAAAAGGCTGGAAAATCGAAGCGCGGGCGGATTTAAAGGTTACGGCGCAGGGTGAGGAGCCGGCCAAGGCAGAGAGGATTAAGTGATATGAGCTCAGAAGGGGAAACTTCGCACAAGCTGGCAAAGATTAATCTCCCTCGCAGAGAGGGAAAGGGGTGGGAGCATTGGGCATCTCTGCCATAGGGCCCCAATCAAAGCTAGTCGTTTCAGAATGGACTTGGAGTCGGGGCTCTTGGTTGTGGGCCCTGGGTTCGAATCTCTGTTTGGCTTTGGAAACCCACTCTGTGGCCTTGGGTGGGTCACACTGTCTCAGCCACTTTGAGTACCCTTTGGGGACATAAAGCAGGGTATAAATCAATACAATAGTAACAACAACAGCAGCAACAAATAACTGCCAACCGCCAACCACCACCACCAACAACCAACAAAAACCGACCACCGCCTACCACCAGCCGCCAACCACCACCAACAATAACCAACAACAACCAACCACCAGCAGCCACCAGCTGGCAGTCGCCAACCACCACCACCAACCACCACCAACAACAACAACCAACAACAACCAACCACCGCCAGCTGCCAGCCGCCCACCACCACCACCAACCACCACCACCAACAACCAACCACCACCAGCCGCAAACCACCAGCAGCAATAACCAACCACTGCCAGCCACCAGCTGGCAGTCACCAACCACCACCACCAACCACCACCAACAACAACAACCAACAACAACCAACCACCGCCAGCTGCCAGCCGCCCACCACCACCACCAACCACCACCAACAACAACCAACCACCACCAGCCGCAAACCACCACCAGCAATAACCAACCACCGCCAGCCACCAGCTGGCAGTCGCCAACCACCACCACCAACCACCACCAACAACAACAACCAACAACAACCAACCACCGCCAGCTGCCAGCCGCCCACCACCACCACCAACCACCACCAACAACAACCAACCACCACCAGCCGCAAACCACCACCAGCAATAACCAACCACTGCCAGCCACCAGCTGGCAGTCACCAACCACCACCACCAACCACCACCAACAACAACAACCAACAACAACCAACCACCGCCAGCTGCCAGCCGCCCATCACCACCACCAACCACCACCAACAACAACCAACCACCACCAGCCACAAACCACCACCAGCAATAACCAACCACCGCCAGCCACCAGCTGGCAGTCGCCAACCACCACCACCAACCACCACCAACAACAACAACCAACAACAACCAACCACCGCCAGCTGCCAGCCGCCCACCACCACCACCAACCACCACCAACAACAACCAACCACCACCAGCCGCAAACCACCACCAGCAATAACCAACCACCGCCAGCCACCAGCTGGCAGTCGCCAACCACCACCACCAACCACCACCAACAACAACAACCAACAACAACCAACCACTGCCAGCTGCCAGCCGCCCACCACCACCACCAACCACCACCAACAACAACCAACCACCACCAGCCACAAACCACCACCAGCAATAACCAACCACTGCCAGCCACCAACCACCACCAACCACAACAAACAATAACCAACCACTTCCAGCCGCCAGCCACCACCAACCACCACCAACAAACAGCAACAACAACCAACAACAACCAACTATCGCCAGCCACCAACCAACAACCAACAACAACCAGCAACAACAGCCAACCACCGCCCTCCACCAGCCACCTACCACCACCAACAACAAACAACAAAACCAACAACAACCAACCACCACCAGCCGCCAACAACAATAACCAACAACAAGCAACCACCACCAGCTGCCAGCCACCAAGCACCACCACCAACCACCACCACCAACAGCCAACAACAACCAACCACCACCAGCCGCCAACCACCACCAACCACCAACAACAACCAACCACCACTAACCACCACCAACCACAACCAACAACCAACAACAACCAACCACTTCCAGCTGCCAGCCACCAACCACCACCACCAACAAACAGCAACAACAACCAACAACAACCAACCATCAAACGGCCAACGAACAACCAACAACAACCAACAAGGCGACCATTGCCAGCCGCCAACCAACAACCAACAACCAACAACAACCAACAACAAACAACCACAGTTAGCTGCCAACCACCAACAACAACACTCTGCGGTCTTGAGTGAGTTGCACTCTCTCAGCCTCAAATTCACACTGTCTCAGCTGCTTTGAGACCCCTTTAAGAACATAAAGTGAAGTATAAATCAATACTACTACTGCAACAACAACGGCAGCAACAACAGCAATGTGTTGTCAAAGGCTTTCACTGGGTTACTCTGAGTCTTCCAGACTGCTGGCCATGTTCCAGAAGCATTCTCTCCTGATGTTTCACCCACATCTATGGCAGGCATTCTCAGAAGTTGAGGGCTCTGTTGGAAACTAGGAAAGTGATGGTTCTTGTGGGTTTTTTTTCGGGCTATATGGCCATGTTCTAGAGGCATTTCTCCTGACGTTTCGCCTGCATCTATGGCAAGCATCCTCAGAGGTGAGGTCTTGCCATAGATGCAGGTGAAACGTCAGGAGAAATGCCTCTAGAACATGGCCATATAGCCCGAAAAAACCCACAAGAACCTAGTAATTCCAGCCATGAAAACCTTCGACAATACAGGAAAGTGATGTTTATATGTCTGTGGAATAATGTCCATGTTGGGAGAAAGAACTCTTGCCTGTTGGAGGCAAATGAGGATGTTGCCATTGGGTTTTACGAATTTTACAATTTTTACGAATTTTTACAAATTTAACGATTTTTTAACGAATTTTACGAAGTTTACGAATTTTACAAATTTTAACAAAGTTTACGAACTTAACGAATTTTACGAGTTTTACGAGTTTTACGAGTTTTACGAGTTTTACGAAGTTTACGAATTTTACGAATTTTTAGGAAGTTTACGAATTTTACGAGTTTTATGAATTTTGAGTTTTACGAGTTTTACGAGTTTTACGAAGTTTACGAATTTTACGAATTTTTAGGAAGTTTACGAATTTTACAAGTTTTACGAATTTTACGAATTTTAGGAATT